TTTGTTCAAAAAATTAATTTGGTAAGTAATTAATTTATTTTCTACTTTATTATTTTTCTATTTCAGATTTTCATTTTGTTTTTGTAACAAAATAAAAATCTGTTTTATTTATTTTATTTTATTTTCTGGTTTAATTTTTGTAATCAAACAAATTCCCTCATTTCCTTTATTTCTTCTATATTCCGTTTGTTGTTAAGTACACAAACAAAATTTATTTTTCAAATACAGTAAAAATTGTCCAACAATATATATATATATATATATATATATATATTCTATACATGTAAATAATACATTAGAAAGTAAGAAGAACACATGAATTTATATTGTAATATAAACTAATCTTTATATTTGTGTAATGATATCTAGGTGTTATGGCCTTAATGTAGTTGGAAGCCAGTTTCATTAACAGACTTGATTACTTCTGTCTCAGTGAAAAAGGTTTATCACAGAGCTACCTTATGTGTCCATCCTAATAAGGTCCAACAGAAAGATGCCAATGTTCAACAAAAATATATTGCTGACAAATCTTAAGACTATGTTTGATTGGGAGATGTAAAAAGAAAACGGGAAAAGGTAGGTAGACTTTAAATAAAATATACTTACATTTTACATAGTTTCACACGCATTTTTTTCTTTCTTTTTCCAAATCCCTTCTCAAACCTCTAAACCAAACACAACGTAAGTTTTTTTTTTTTTTATAATTATTATTATGTAAGTTTAGATATTTTTTGTTATTGTTGTTGTTGTTGTTGTTGATGATGATGATGAAATAGATTGCAGCATATAATTTTTTTTTTTTTTTAATAGATGAGGAGAGATAGAGAGAGAAGAAAATTTGAGAGTCTGAAACTTAGATTTGGATGATGAGTTTGTTCTCATTGATGAAAGAGAGATGCCTATAGATCTGATCTGTTTCAACAGATAAAAATATTAAATTGCTATTCTAATAGGAAAAAAAATTGATCAGATAATAAAAATTTAAACAAATAGTCAAAATTTTGAACAAATAAAAAAAAAGTTAACATATAAGGGGTAAAATTGAAAATAAAATGTCTTTTAAAACCAACAAAAAGTCTTCTCATCAAATTATATCACAAAAGTTGAACTTTTTTTTTTTTTTTTTGGATCAGACAAAATGTGAACTTCTCACTAATAAAAAATATTCACTGAATCTAATGCCTTATATATACTCTTTTCACATTAGATTTATCACTAATTTTCTCTTTAAATAAATAAATTAAGGTCCACCAACAAACCAAAAAATAAAATAAATGGGTAAATTACAGATACACCCCTTGAGATTTGATTAAAATATGAATCACCCTTTATGATTCTGGAAATTACATTCCACCTCTTCAAGTTTCTAATTTCATAACAAATCGGCATTTTTATTAATAAATCATGAAGTCAATTAATAGTTTTTTATGATGTTAGAAATATATTTCAATTAAGAATTTAGGTAATTTTATTATTGTATAGAAGAGTAGTTATGAATTTCATTTTTTTAGTTAATTCTGTTGAATAAAAAATTCTGACAAGAGAATAGTCATAATTTTTCAAATCACATAGGACAATCTGTACTTTAAACAAATTTTAGGAGGTGTATTTGTAATTTACCCTAAATAAATTAAGGGAGATTTATTTATAAGTCCTATTTCAGACACTTATGCTATGTTAAATCCTGTGTAATTTCTTATAGAGTTTCAAGTCCTATTTAGATAAGAAAGTATTCCACAAGATTCTATGAGTTGTAAATAATTGCTATTAATATACTAATATACACTATAATGGCAAAACCATATATAAGAAATTGAATGTTACCATAGATCATATCTATATGAATGTAAATTTCAAAATACACGAACAAGTTACATTTTCACATTCAATTTAAAAAATCAAAAACCTAGTAAGTTTGCGAAACATAACGTGACACGTTACGTTACGTTTATGTAGGTGTCACGTTACGTTTATGTAGGTGTCATGTTACGTTACGTTTATTTAGGTGTCACGTTACGTTACGTTTATGTAATTCAATTTAAAAAATCAAAAACCTAGTAAGTTTGCGAAACGTAACGTGACACGTTACATTACGTTTGTGTAGGTGCCACGTTACGTTACGTTTATGTAGGTGTCACGTTACGTTTCACAAACTTAATCTATGGTAACATTCAATTTCCTATATATGGTTTTACCATTATTTATGATATTAACAACTAATATTGAGGGTAAATGTGTCAACAAACTTCACATAGGACTTATGGGAACATAAGTTTTTTAATAGGACCATATGTAGCATAAGTCTCCCTAATAGGGCTTATAAATAATTTTTTCATATATTAAATAAATATGAGTGCTACTATTAGCACCTTATTACTTATTTTGAATCCCTCATTTTTTAGTTTTTTTATTTTTTTATTACAATAATAACTTTAAGTGAAATTACTAAAAAAAGCATTAATAATTTTGGGACACTTTATCTCACAATTAAGTCCACATACCCATTACATCATGGGTTAGGATTTATGAGAGCACCCACCTCAATCATCACCCATCCATCTTTCCCAAATCTCATCTTTAAAACCTATCCCCCTCAAAACCTTGAAAATTCTTTGACGGCAATATTTCGGCCGCAACGATGGTAACCATTTGATTACATACACTTTTCAGGCAACAATAAGTGAAATTTTTTTTTGGCAACCACAACTTTATGAAACGAGAAGAGTATAATAATAAAAGTTATAAGAGATTAATAACTTTGATGGTGCTCTTAGCTCTGAGAATATTGGTTTTGTAAGGGTATGTTTCTTGAAAAAAATAAAAATAAAAATAAACTTTTCGTCATTTTTTCAGGACTGAACTCTTGAACATATGACTGAAATTCGGGAACACCTGAACATTGTTTATTTGTTTGGGAACAAGTAATCGAACATTTTTTATTTGTTCGAGAACAAACAATAAAATATAAAGAACATACAAGTACAGTGAGACCATGGATGAATGATAAAAAAAACCAACCAAAGAAGTATGAAAGTTGATTGTATTGTGTATGTGAAAAGGGGTAATAGAAAAAAAATAAACACATTGACAAACCTCATAATGAAACAGAGAAAAAAAATTTTAATCACCACAAATTTTTTCCATTAATTTTGTAAGGTTCTACGGTTGTAGGTTTTGTTAGGGTTTCAAAAGAGAGACTTTTTAGGATGAGGGAGTGTGGGGTGGAATCCGGATCCCCTCCTTAATTTCTCTCCTTAACTTCTTACTTATTAGGTCATTAGCCCAATTTTGATAATCCAAACCGTTTACATTTTAAGATTTGTTGAATATATTATATTTGTAAAAAATCAAGTTGATAGGATATCAGAAACTACGTGTTCGGATTATCGAACTACAAAACTATTTTTAAAAAAAATTTAATAAATAGTTTTCAGAACACATACTTTCTGATATCCAATTAACTTGATTTTTTACAGGTATGATGCATTCAACGAATCTTAAAATGTGACGGTTCGGATTATCAAAATTAAGCCCAAAAGCAGGCCCAATGGCACAACAAGTAAGAAGTTAAGGAGGGGATCCTTATTTGTGTGGCGTGTGGGAGTATGTATTTGAATGGGTGAAATGTTTTTATAAAGATAATTTTGATAATATTTGAGAAAAAAAATTATAATTTATAAGTAGAGATTTAAAAAAATAAATAAATAATTAATTAATTAACAATAATGTTTTGTTTCCTGAATCTTTCTTTCCCGAATCTTCCGACTACCCAAAACGACGTCGTTTTGAATTTTCTTGCCTGTAAGATATATTAAAATTCTCTTACTGGTAAAATAATTTTCATTAAATAACTCTCTCGTAAAACGAAATTACCGTTTAAAACGACGTTATTTTAAATTCGGAATAAATTCAAACTTGAAAATTTTCGGACTACGCATCACTACTGATTAATTAATGAGATATTACTGGCAGCACTCATAAATAAATATCTGATGGAGACGCGAGGAGCACGATTGGCTTGGCTTTAATCGTATTTTGCTATGGTTGGCTGGTTGGTACAATTTGTTGTTGGCTTTAATCGTATTTTGCTATGGTTGGTTGGTACAATGTACGAGTATGACATGCTTCACTGTACTATTTCAGTTCATAAAGTTTATTACTAGTGTCGTTTTTATAAGAAAATTTTAGGATCCGGATGGTCTCCGGCCCAAATCTGAAACAGTTCAATTTAGTTCGGTTTATTGACTTTATTTTTGGGTTATTTTTTTGATAATTAGAACCGTTTACATTTTAAGATTTATTGAGTACATTATTCTTGTAAAACATTACGCCGACCGGATAACGGATACTATGTATTTGAATCACTTTTGTCTAAAAAAAAATAAACGGTCAGAAAATTAATAGTTAATAGAAAAATAATTCGAATACATAATATCCATTATCCGATCGAAGTAATTTTTTACAAGAATAATAGAACAAATCATAAAATGTGAACGGTTTGGACTATCAAAAAAAGGTCCAAAAGTAGACTCAATAGGCCGGACTGGACCCTCCAGTCTAGATGGTAGACTAGAGGCAAGCCCTAGCCAAAATTTTATTATACATATTTTATATCACATGTATATTTAAGTTATGTCATTTTTTTTAATTATAACTTTATTTTAATTGTGACTCATAAAATCTTTGATTATGCTTAATATGTTATTTGATTATGATTTTTTATTTTTATTTTATAGTTATGACTTAAAAAATATAAAATTATGTCATTTTTATCTATACAAAAAATTAGATCGATCAAATTACCGTAACTTATTCAATTTATCATTTTTATCTTCACCAGTGCTATCACCCCCACCACCTCCACCAACCCGCGACTAACACCAATGCAATTATTTACACATTAATTTTAAAATCATAATATTTGTGAATTTTTTTTGGGGGAAAATAGTTTATAACTTTTAAACATGTATATTATACAAAATATTAAATAGTAATGTCACCTCATTGCGAAACGGCTCAGGAACTCTGTAGACGTGACGTGACTATGCATCTGCTTCCCTTTCCATGCATCCATACCTTGGCATATAGATCAAAAGCCCATTAAAAAAGATAAAGGAAAAATATCAAAAAAATAGAAAATAGAAAAAGTAATTACAAATCAGCAATGATACATTCCCTAATGTTAGCTCTAATTAAGCTATAATGATGTGAAAATTCACAAAAAAAAAAAAACCCCAAGACCAAAACATCATATCAATAAATAGAGCTTACCCTTTAGAGCTCCTTTAGATCTCATATTTTAGAGCTCCCAAACATTTTTTAATTACAAATTAATGAAAGTACAACTACCATTTGTATAATTTAATGCATAAATCACTTGTACTTTCATGAGTTTGCAATTATTTTTTCAACTTCTCACTTTTTTGTATTTCCTAGGAAAAAAATAGTGTGAAAGATAATTAAAGAATTGAAATTAATGTAATTCACGTAGACCCATTTATACTAGAAACTATGGATTTGCAGCTTTGGGTGATAAAAATAGGACTGATGTTATAAATGTAAATTATTAAGTAGGTACTAACATGGTTTTGAGAACATTGATTTGGATGGTAAGATTTTACAATTCTACGATCTAAAGTTGAGAAAAATGATCTGTATCACTCTAAAATTTTAAATTTAATAGAATCTTAAATTGATTACGATACTATTCATAAAATCATGTAGAAATGCATACGATCCCAATTATATTACAATCCCAATTGTACTAATTTTTTTGTTATTATTTATTTCTTATTTAAATGTATGCATTTGTGTATAAAATTTGATAAAATTTGACTATGAACTCAATTTTCAAAAATCTCCTCTAATTTGTGTGGACAGAGAACTTGAATTACATCAAATTTATTATTTTTTTGTAATTCTTTTAAAATTATATAACATGCATTATTATTATCGATAATTTTTTATTTTATTTTAAATTAAAAGAAAAATCTGACAATTTAATTCTCGAGTCCTGCCAAGAATCTCACCGAAGATCTCAGGTTTAGCAACCTTAACATAGTACCATTACATTGTTTGTACAATGTTCTTGGAAAATGAGAAACAACAAAACATGCTTAGTGGGTAATCGGTAATTTTTTAACTACTTTATAAAAGTGAATAAATATTATTTTATTTATAAGTGTTTTTTTACTATATTATTGACTACAAGCACCACATGAACATTATCACGTGACACACCAAGATTACTGAGTAATAATAGTGATAAATGTAACATTACAAAGTTTGAAGAGTTCATGAAAGGGTTTGACTTGCCTATGTGGACTGGTCGGGTCCAATTTGGATACCAGTTTAAAAAAAGAAATTTTTAGTTCTCTGTAGATCATTTTAAGAATAAATAAATAAATAAAACAAGAAAAAATGGGGGAAAAAAATCTTTAAATTGATTCAATAATTATAGTCACATTGCTTCATCACATTTGTCTTCAAAAAATGAATAAATATAATTTTAAAACTACGTCATTTCTAAAAGAAAATTTTGATTAAATCAAATAGTTTTAATTATCACATTATTTTTATATAATTAATTTGTATAAGGGAGCTTAAAAAATTAACGAATCGAATCGTTAAAGAGAAACTAGTAATAAGACAGCTTGAACTGAACCGTCCCAGCGAGAGCTGGACAGAAATAGAGTTCTTTATGGACTTTTAGAATTTGTTTGTGAAAACAAATTTGGTGGAAAAAAAAAAAAAAAAAAAGAGCCCAAAACTCATTATATTCTTATGGTTTTCTGTTAAAAACAATTTTAGAAAATTCACAAATAATTCTTTTGGTGTTTGTGTATGTGGAAATAATTTATAATTAAAAAAAAAATCATAGCAGATTTTGAAAACTCAATCAATAACACATTATGAGAGAGAGAGAGAGAGAGAGAGAGATTTACACATACCTTCAATGGTTGGCAACCAAGGCTTTGAGTAATGACCAGTAGCTACAACCACAGCATCAAACACTTCTTCTACCACCTTCTCAGACTGCTTCGCTTTACTCCTAACAACCCATCTCAAATCTTTTCCAAATTCATTACAATCCAACATTCCCACAAACTCCACCTTAGTATTCAACCTTATCATCTCTCTTAACCCAAACCATTCACAAAAATCCTTCAAGTAAAAAAAAAGTTCCTTATGACCAGGAAACCTCCTAGTATCTCTATCTCCACCTTCCTTCACCACAAATGGAAAGTCAGTGTAACCCATGACTTCTCTTGGAGTGAAAAGCCTTAGTGAGGCATAGACACTACTATGGACCTCTAGGGTATTGTCCCTTCCTAAGGGATCTTCATTTTCAACATTAGGGTTATAGAGCCATTGCCCTCCAACATCATGGTTTTGCTCAAAAACCACCACATTGTGGCCTTCTCTCTTGAGTTCCCTAGCAGCCACCAGCCCTGACGGTCCGGCACCGACCACGCAGACATGCTTTGATTGGTTCTTCTCCATATCCATGGTATAGTGATGAATGTGAGGAGGGTAATAATGTGATGTTTTTGCTATATAGTTGAATTGGTATATATAGAATTATTATGGCTAATATTGTTTGCATAAATACAACTATAATAACTAATTGAGTAACCTTCCGGAAATGTGATTTTTACGGGCGTCCACTTATATGGTGCCACATAAGGAAAAATATGATGTACAACAATTGTATCTTTTCCCACATTTCATCTCTTTAATCTGGTTTTTTTCACCGGCTTTACCTAATTTTTCAAATTTGGTCACTGAAAGTATAACTTTCAGTGACCAAAATAGTTGCTTGTTTCCATTTTTCAAAAAACACTTTTCAGAAAATTCTATTTTCTTATTTTCTGTGTTTTTTTGTTTTTACTGAATTTTTTTAATATTTTAAACAATTTTTTTACTTTTTAGACACATCTAACATAAATACATCTTAAAAGTAAAAAAATTGTAAAAAAAATCTTTTAAAAATTCACTAAATACCAAAAATATAAAAAAAAATACAAGAATTCAGTACATTTTTTATATTTTTATGTATTTATTAATTTTTTAAAATATTTTTTCACAAATTTTTTACTTTTTAGATACATCTAAGTAAGATGTATCTAAAAAAGTAAAAAAATGTTTAAAATTTTAAAAATATTCACTAAAAACAAAAAAACTCGAAAATCAAAAAAGCCAATTTTCAAAAAACTTAATCCAGAAAACTCAAACCAAACACACTTAGTAGCCAAAAGTAAAGCTTTTTGGCGACTAAACAATTTTAGTAGTCTACAATTGCTGACTAAAACTAAGTGTGGTCGCTGATTATATGGGTTTTAGTGACTAAAAAATTTTTAGTAGTCCAAAGTAAAGTTTTTTAGCGACTAAAAAAATTTAGTAGCCAAAAGTCTACAATTGGCGACTAAAAATAAGTTTGGTCGCTGATTATATGGGTTTTACCAACTAAAAAAATTTTAGTAGCCAAAAGTAAAGCTTTTTGGTGACTAAAAAAATGTTAATAGTCAAAAGTCTACAATTGTCGACAAAAAAATAAGTTTAGTCGTCAAAAGTGGTCAATTTTAGCACGGGAGAACTAAAATCCTAAGGCGGGAATTAAATTTTTTGGCCACCAAAATTTTGGTAGCTGAAAGTACATCTTCAGCGACCAAATTCGACTTTGGTCGGCAAAAGTTAAGTTTTTTAACGACCAAAAAATAATTAGTAGCCAAAAGTATAGAATTGGCGACTAAAAAATACGTTTAGTCGCCAAAAGTAGTCTTTTTTATTTTACATAAATTATGTTCAATAAAATAATTATGTTTATACATATACTTTTATATTAATATGGATGTATATATTATATAAATAGTATATGTCACATATATAATCATGTGGTGCTATAGAGGTGTAGTGGGAAGATTGTGGTGCGTAAGGTTTATGATGTGGAAGGTTGGCGGTTCAAGTCTTTGCAAGAGTCGGCAATTGGTTGCTTTTGGCGACTAAAGGTGTTGGTCGGCGATTCCTTGACTATTGGCGACTAAAACATTAGTCGGTAAATGTATAATTTTAAATAAATATAATTGATTATTGACGGCCAAAATTTTGGTTGCTAAAGACTTGCTTTTTGCCGACAAAAGGTGTTTTGGTCGGCAAAACCCTCCAAGACCTTTCCCGACAGGGTTTTGGCGACAAACGTAACGACCAAAATCTTTGGTCACAAAATGTCATTAGGGACCAAAAAATAGACAATTAGTGACCAATATTTTAGTCGCTAAAAGTGACTTTTTTTGTAGTGCACTCACACCCTCTACAACCTTATGATTTGGATCTTTCAACAAAGCCCCTATCATCCATATCGATAGCCATCAACGGATGTTGAAGAGCCGATGACCACTGACCACCACCACATATTTATGCTTAGAATCTCCTCTAATTGAACTCATCATCACCATCACATATGCAAATGGAAAACCAATTCAATAAAAATTTGATTTATGATAGGTTCTTTATGAACAATGGGTGATTTAAAATTTTTTTGTTTGTTTGTTTGTGTTTGTGTTTTTTTTTTTTTTAGACTTTTGTGGCTCTATTTTTATGTTTAACCCAATGAGAAATCTGTGTGTGTGTGTGTGAAGATATAGCCTTGTCCTTCAACAAAACCCCCATCTTTTGCATCTTCTGTTTCTCTTTTTTGTAATTATTTCTCTTTAAGATCAGAGCCACTAAAATCAATCCCTTTCTCAATCTGGTACTCTCTCCTCTGTTGTTGTTGTTGGGCAAATTTGAGAAATACAATGCTTCCAGTTTGCCTTCCCTCACATGCCAAATATTTAAACCTTTGTTTTGTTGGAATATGAAATGTGGTTATAATCTTTATAATAAAAAAATAAAATAAAAAATAATTTTGTGGTGGATTTTATGCAAATCATCGATTGATTTGGATGATATGCAATAAACAATTGGACTATTTAATTTTTCAGTCTTACAAGGTAATCGGACGTTCAATAACATTTTTTATCCCAATCAATTGTGTCTGATTGAAGAAATAAATAAAAGGATTAAGTCAGTGGCTCAGTAATGGCATAAGAAAGAAACAGTGATTTGTACTTGGTACAGAGGGAAAGGGAGACCGTGCAATGAGAAATGTGAGATAAGTTAACAAAAATACCTGGGACCTCTAGTTAAAGGTATTATCAGTGATGTGATAGTAAGTTTCACCCATTGTTACTATCAGTATTGTGTCTGTTGTTGTTTTTTTTTTCTTTTTTTTTATCTTATTAAAGATGTGTTTAGAACTTCTAAATTAGAAGTCTCTAACGTCACCGGATAAGTTAATGGCTTATATGTCCAAATCATTGAGAAACAGTGGGATAAATTAATGACTTATGTGTCGGCAAAGCATTAGGGAACCGTAAATATAGGATTTACGGCTAGTCCATTTATATTTTAGGGGTTGTTTAGAGTGTCTTAAATAAATGTATTTTTTATTTTTTTAAATTAAAAAGTTGAGGAAAAAATATGAATATTTAGATTAATTTTTTGACTTTTTATGAAAAAATCTGTATTGAAAAATTGTATAAATAAATGTGTAGAAAAAGATAATTTAGTACACTGTACGGATTGGCAATTAGTCGGTTGGGTGAATATATGGGAAAAAATTACCTCATTTTTTGGTTTTGATTGGACGGTGTTGTTCAGCCCGTGGGGGCCACCACGGGTCCCGTTTTTTCTAATCGGAACTGTTGAATGTGTAAAACTCGTTGAGTACTATATGTTTATAAAAAATCACGTTAATTGGATATCGATAGTTATTTGATCGTGTTAGTTTTTTTGTCAACTGTTAATTATAACACCATCCAATTTTTATACAAAACTGATTTGATCTTGTAGTTAGCGATATTTGATAGACGTGATTTTTTACAAGCATATAGTACTAGACGAATTCTACATCTTAAACGGTTTGGATTATCAAAACAGGACCTATGGTGGGCTCCCACAGACCCAACTTTACTATCCAACTTAGTGAATGTACACATGTAATTTTTTTTTCCCTTCCCCTGCAGCAGGATTGACGCAGACATTGATGGGCCAAAAAATTAATTTATATTTTAATATTTGTATATTAATTTTTTTATATATTTTTTTTTTGTAAATAGTGATAACTTTTTAATTTTTTTATAACTTTTTGATTTTTTTTTATACTTGCCAAACCAGCCCTCTCTTTTTTTTTATTATTATTATTATTTGACGTGTCAAGGCTGGTTTGACAATTGTTTTTTTAGCATTTTTTTATTGATTTATTTTTAAATTTTTAGTAAAAATAATCTAAAAGTTTCTATAAAGACACCTTTTAACTCCTAGGTGGAACTAATTAGATGACCCAATTTTTTTCAATTAAAAAAACAAAAAGAAAAAGTTGGTTTTTTAGCCCTTTATTGTCTTTAGTAACTTATTTTTTGAATTTTTAAAGTTTTTTTATAAACTTTTTAAAATCTTTTACACTATAATAGAAGACCCAAAAATAAAAAATATTTTTTTAAGAAAAGTAAACTTTTGAAAAAAGTTCAATAAAAAAAAGACAAAAAGAAAAGAAATACATTTTTTTTTTTTGTGGTGTTTTTAGTGACCACTATATTTTTATTTTTTCACATTTTAGATTCTTTTAAATTATAAGAACTTGAAAACCTTTTGATACAATTTTTTTTTTTTCCTAATTAAAGGAATTATGACTCCAACTTGGCCAAACATATTCGTGATGAGATAGGATTGACCTTCAATTATTGTACATATGGATGGGCCACCATCACGTGGTGCATCTGTTCCAAATGGAGAGGATAGGGTTTAGAAATTTTTGTTAAGTGAGTGTAAAAAATATGATTATGTGACATCTTAAATTAATTAATAATTTTTTCAAGAAAAATATTTGGGAGCACTAATTAGTGCTCCCACTAATTAGGTGGCAGTGGGTCTCGCCATTAATGATGTGATGTTTTGGTCTTGAAGTTGTATTTTTTTTTTTTTACTTTTTTAATGCATTAGTGCTATTAGTGATGATGTTTTTAGTGGGATGAATCATTGTTGTTTTTTCAAATGCATAGGATTGTTCCACTGCATAAAGTATAACGTCATGTCATTTTCGAACAATTCAATCATATTTTTTTTATTTTTTTATTAATTAACATATAAAAAATTATAATTTTTTTTATTTTATCTAAAATTATATATATATATATATACATATATTTTTTAGCGTTACTCTTTATTTTATCTATTTATACACACAAACTATTTAAAAAAAAATTTAAGACTCTTCGAATGTAGGTAATCTTGAAGATTTTTATTAAAATAATTATTGTAATAGCTAACCCGTTGATATGACTAAAATATGATAATATTAACTATAATATATCTAACAGCTCTCATTTAAAAAGAGCCAATCAAAGATTCTATATTAGAGGAAAAAATAATTTTAAAAAGGGGTATTTTAGACTTCACTCTTTACCTTTCACTTAAACTAAATTATTTTCTTATATTCTAATAAGTTCTATGAGTGATATAGTTATCAAAACACCCCTAATACTAATATTTAAATTAACAGTGTGACTGTTTTGTGATGTAAACA